CGCCAGTGGGAATCAGATTTAAGTTTGGGACACAGAGTATGCTCGGCAGCTAACGGGGTGCGTAAGAAGCTGCTGTCTGGGCCATCTTCTTCTCACCCCAGTCACAGTTCAGGAAAATCCCTCACAATCTCTTGTGGGAAGAGGACATCCCAGTTCTCACCTCCCTCTCCTCTGCAGAAGCCAGAGGGGACTAGATCTTTCTACCCACTCCCAGACACAGCCGGGCGTATGATGTGTGCGTCCCAAGAAGCACAACGGAGGTGACTGGGAAGACATTACCATACTCAGTAACGAGTGCAGAGAATGGGGCCCATGAAGGGCTGCAGCTGCTACCCTGGATCAGTCCAGAGCGCCACCTCCCAGGAACCTTGGCGCTAGGGCTCTCCCCAGTCAGCGTCCTTGTCCTTTGGAGGATAACTCCCCCTCCTGGGCGGCTGTAAGAGCTACAGGTGCTAGTGGGCCAACACGATGGATGCTCGGCTTCTGTAAACTATGAAGTGACACATACACACGAGAGCAAGAGGAACAGACTGCCCAGACCACGCGCGTAGGAGCCAGGCCCAGGCTGTGCCAGCAAAGGTTCAAGTACACAGTGATGAGTGGGGTATTTATGACTTTTGTTTTATATAATTCATTTAGTCATTTAATTTTTATAATGCTTGTATTCAATAAGCAGCTTATAAAATTAAGATATTTTTAATTTGCATAGGGTATGTGAACTTGAAGGAGGGAGAGAGAGAAAGTGCCCTCTGGAGGGGGTGGCCACGCCATTCTCCTCCGTTTCTCCGTTTAGGATTTTGGGCACGGACGCACAGATGCCTGGTGTGTGTTTCAAGACTCTGGGCCAGGGACTCAAACCATGGAGTTGACTGCATGGGATCTAGCTGCCTCAACCACCGTGTCGTGGGCTGGCCTCTGAAATTTTAGCAGACAGCTCTGGAAGGCTGAACTAGAACCGTTCTGGGCCTTTGGGTGTTCTCTAAAGTTGCCTCTACCAGCAACTCAGACATTTTCATTTTGTTCTGGGGCCCACAAAGGCTGTCATCAGTGCCGCCACCTCTGCACTCGAGTTCCCACGGCAGCTCCCGGAGAAGCGTGGCCCTTGAAACTTCAACAAGGTCTAAAAGACTCAAGTCACTCCCCAGGACCATCTGAGCCCTGGCTACCGTCCACTCGAGGAAGTCCTCCTCCTCCAGAGGAGCCAGAGGGCATCCTGGCCGACTCCCAGCAGCCCTGCCTGGAGACGGGAGACGGCTTCACGAAAATGAGTCCACACCACCATCTGGTGGCACCTGGGTGCCAGGGCTCCCTGGACGCCAAACTCAGGATCCTGGACTAAGAGTCATCTGTCTCAAAGGGTCCAACAGTGCTGTGGGAGGGCAGGGGGTCAGCGGAGGGCCCAAAGGTGAATGGGGTGAATTTACTGTAACTAGACTTGCCTGAGAGCTACAAGAGACCCCAGAGGCCCCAAAGAGAGTGGAAAAGAAAAAGAAAAAAGAGTTCCATAGTGAACAAGTGTTCAATGCCCACAAGCGAGTATTAAATCTGGCTCTGGGACAGCCTTGCTGGCACAGGTGGCAGTAACCGAGCTGCTGCAGGGCTGGTGGCCACATGGGGGACCATGGTTTGGACCCGGAGCTGACCTGCAAACACCGGTGTATACAGCCAGGGTCCGGCTGAGCTGGAAGGCTGGGGGAAGGGGATCAGGGTGACAGGACCCTGCTGCTCATTCTCTCCTAAACACTCTAATGAATAAAAGTATTACTTTTTTTTAGAGAGTATTTTTGCTATCAGACATGTGTGTTTGCTGAAGAGACAGAGAGACAGAAGACAGAAAATGAGAAACCACCCACCGGGGGATGGCTGTGTCATAATCCCTTCTCCATTCCCCTTTCGGGATTTTGGGCACGCACACACAGGAGCCTGGCTTCAGTTTTAAGCCCCTAGATCTGGAACTCAAACCAAGGTCAACCACATGGAAGTCCAGCAATGTAACCATTATGCCATCTGCTGGTCCCAAAATTAATACTTTTTTTTTTTTTGGAGAGGTTTTTGCTATAGGGCGCGTGCGCTCACCAGACGGACAGAGACAGAGAGACAGAAGACAGAAAATGAGAAACCCCCCACCGGGGGATGGCTGTGTCATAATCCCTTCTCCATTCCCCTTTCGGGATTTTGGGCATGCACGCACACGCACCGGGTGGGAGTTTAAGCCACTGGGTCCGGGACTCGAACCAGGGTCGACGACATGGGAGTCCAGCGACATAGCCATTACGCTGCTAGTCCCAAATTGTACATTTTTTAAAAAGTCTAGTTTAGGATGCCACTTCCGAGGCTCTTGTGATGAACAAGGTGAGAGATGCTGTGGCCTGGACCTCCAGTGTCAGTGAGATGCGAGAAACGGCTAGATTCTGGTTTCGTTTTAAAGGTACAGTCAGGCCAGCCGGTGGATGGTGGTTCAGGCAGCTGGATCCCACAACTGCTATGCAGTTCAGTCCTGCATTCTGTGGCTTGAAAGTCATGCCGGGCACCTATGTACGTAAGTGCTCGAGACCCCGCGAGAATGTAGAAGGGATTGCCGTGTGGGCATCCCTCACCCTGGAGGGTGATTTCTTTTTCTCTCTTCTCTGTCTTGCTCCAACAAGTACACACGCCCTACGGCAAAACTAAAATGTTAATAAATAAAATAAAGCTACAACAGCTGACTGGTTTGCTGGGGGATTAGCTTTGGAATATGAACGAAGATGAGGAATCAAGGATGACGCCCATGCTTTTGGCTTGAGCAGCTGGAGGAATGAGGCTGTCCTTCACGGAGGTAAGATTAAAGCTGATGCAACAGGAGTTTGTGTGGAGACATGTTCGCTTAACTTGGCAAGTTTCGCCCAGGCAGAATGAGCCCCGTGCTCAGAGAAGATGCATGGTTGGAGGAAAACACCTGAGAAACTCTGGGAGTTCCCAGTATATACATGACATTTATAACCATGAGACTTGAAGAGCTCACCTGGGGAATGACTAGACATCGACTCGGAGAGCACCGAGGGGCGAGCCCTGGAAACCCCAGCAAGAGGTCAATGCGAAAATACCGAGGAACTCTAGGCAGGAGAATCAGTAAGGGGCGGTGTGTGAGAAGTCATGTGAAGGAAGGGTTGGAGGGACCAGCAGTTAGCGCAATGGCTATGTCGCTGGACTCCCATGTAGCGGACCGCAGTTCTGGATCCGGTGGCTTAAACTCACTTCAGGTGCATGTGCATACCTGCCCAAGATCCCGAGAGGAGAATGGAGAAGGGATTGCGGTGTGGCCATCCCCCCTGGGGGGTGATTTCGTGCTTTCTCTCTCTCTGTCTTTCTGGTGAGCACACGCGCCCTATAGCAAAAAACTTCTCAAAAAAAAAAAAAATAGGGGAACCAGCAGTTAGCGTAATGGCTATGTCGCTGGACTCCCACGTAGTCGACCGCGGTTCGTGTCCCAGACCCGGTGGCTTAAAACTCACACCGGGCGCGTGTGCGTGCGTGCCCAAGATCCCGAGAGGAGCATGGAGGAGAAGGGACTGTGGCGTGACCATCCCCCCTGGGGGGGGATTTCTCGCTTTCTGTCTCTATGTCTCTCTCTGTCTGTCTGGCGAGCGCACGCGCCCTACAGTGAAAATCTCTCAGAAAAAAAAAAAATAGAGTTGGAAGGATCAAAAATTGGCCATTGCTCTTGGTGACATAAGCAAAGTTACTTCAATGAACTGAAAGGAGGAAAAAACCTGACTGAAGCTAGTTCGAGAGAGGACAGGAGGAGGGGCTATAGAAAAAAGGGAGTTTAGGACAACTAGGGAGTTTTGTTGTAAACGGGAGTAGGGAATTGGTGCAGGAGGGTTTCTTTTTGGTCATCTGCCTTTAAGATGTTAGAAACACCATGTATGGTACCAGCAGATGGCGTAATGGTTCCGTTGCTGGATGGCCTTTGGAGTCCTGGACCCAGAAGCTTAAAACTCACAATAGGTGCGTGACCAAAATCCCAAGAGAAGAATGGAGGAGAAGGGATTGCAGAGTGGCACATCCCCCACCAAAGGGTGCCCCGAGAGGTGCTTTCTCACCCTCTGTCTCTCTGGCCAGGGACATGCCCTATAGCAAAAAGTCTCTCTGAAAGAAAAAAGAAGAAAAAGAAATGTCAGCATGTATGATGGTACATGATGTCAGGAATGATCCCGAGAAGGAGGAGGAAAGATGAGCGGGAGTGGGGGAGACTTCCTAGAGACAGGAGCCGCGCGACCTGGTACCCAAGCGGAGGGGTGGCTAGCTCAGGTGCACCGTAGTCCGAGGGAAGGCAAAGAATACTGGCGCAGGTGCAGTCAAGGAGCCGGTGGTGGCTGTGGAAACCTGTCCGTCTGTCTGTCTCTCCCCTATGAACTCAATGAAACTGAGTCTTCTTCCGCCAGGCGGTCGCTTTTCTGAGCTGGGCCACCGACAGATTTGGGGACACTGAAAGTGTGTCTCCCCATTATCCTGGGAGCTCTCCAGAGGGCTACCACCTGTGCCTCCGTGTCAAAGTCGCCTCTGAATTTTTCTCCGCATCTTCCAAACTCTAGCCAAGAGCCCCGCAGTCTACGCTGATGAGATACTAAGCAGCTGCTATGCAGCAGGTCCACAAAGCGGGGAGGTCCTAGCCCTGCGCTCTGGGATCCGCATGATCGAGCTACAGCGGCTCCCTCCGTCTCTCCCCTCCGCTCCCGACATTCCCCGGCCCAGCGAGCGGGCCGTTCGCGATCCACAGAGGCCACCGTACCGGGCGTCGGTTCGTGCACGCAGACGCCGAGGTCAGTGTAGGTGTGGCCTGAGGATGGGACTGAATAAGGATTGGGCCGAGAGTCCAGGGGCGGAGTTTAAGGGCCAACTCGGACGGAGAGTGGACGAGCTCGGGAGGCGGGGCCTGATGACAAAGCACGGCGGGGATTGGGCCGAGCGCACTGGGGCGGTGCTTAGGGGGGCGGTGCCGTGCCGGAAGTCAAAGGTCAGTAAATAGTGATGATGTCATGTGAGCAAGATGGCCGAAGGGTGAGCCCGTCGTCCCGCTCCCAGGCGTTGGGGCCTGAATTCTCTCAGGGCTGGGTGCAGGGCCAGGGTCCCCGTGGGGAGCAGGATATCAGCGCGGGCGTGGACGGAGCCGAAGGGGCCGAGGGGTCGCGGTGCGAGCGGGTGGGGGAGCGGCCTGCGAGATTCGGCCCGCGGGCCACCGACGGGGAGCCCATCCGCTCGCTCCGCCAGACGTGTGTGTCTCCACAGGGAGGACGTGGGCTGGTGGCGGAGCTGGCTGCAGCAGAGCTACCAGGCAGTCAAGGAGAAGGTAAGCCGGGCCTGCGCCGCCGCCTTCCGCGGGTCTTCCAGCCTCGCCCTTTTGCGGCGCCGGCCTCTACGATGAGGCCGAGCGGCCGGGCCTGCTTCAGCCCCCACCGGCTTACGGGAGGACAGACCCCAGCGGAGACCAGGGGACTGTCGTAGCGGTTGAGCGACCCTCCAGTGGGACTCTGCTGGAAGGAGTAATGCATGCCAGCCCGGGAAATTCACAACTTCTTCCTGGAGGAGGGACGTTTGACGCGGGCCATGAAGAAATGGATTCCGGCAGTGAAAAAGTTGCTCTTACGGTCGGCCCGGTATTAGAGCGCACCCACCTCCACGGACGCAGGCCTGGGGCCGGCCTTGGCCGAGCAGCCACACGCCGATGTTTACTGTGGGACAGGTGCAGTGAGCAAGGCCCTGCACTCGGCTAGTCTGGTGGCCGAGAACACAGGGCGTTGTGGGGAAGGAGCCTTATCTGCCTAGACAGGGTGACAGCAAGAACCCAGGACAGGGCGTGAGCCAGCCGCACACCCGACGCCGGCGTGTTCGGAGGGACACACCCGGCCCAAGGCAGGGCTGATGGCTGAGTGGGGACGGCTTGGATGGGTGGAACAGGCCTCATGCCATACAGCCGGGCAGGGCCTGTGTGTGCTGTTTTATTCCCCTCTAGTTTGTCAAAACCAGCCCAGATGACTGGTGAGGAGTTCATTACTGTTTACCTCAAGCATCTGGGACGAGTCCTGCTTCAGGGCTGACTCTGCAGGCGTCTGACTTGGGCAGCCAGGCCCCTGCTCTCTGGGGTTCTTAGTCCTCCCTGGCCGCCTCTCAGCTGGGCCCAGGCCCTCCACCATAAACCTTTTCAGCCTCTCGTTTTCCTCTCTACCCCTTTCCTTGAGAAACTTGCCCACAACTCTCCCCTGAAGTCCCTGATTCCAGCACTGTGGCCTTTTTACTTAAGGAGACAACCTCACCTACTTTCTAGAATTTCGGGTCAACAGGATCATTCTTAGCTTCCTTCCCACCCCTGAAAGCGCCACCTATAACCGTGTCTGTGTTCACACTCGGCTTTCCCTGCCACTTGCCAAACCCTGTGGATGGTTTCAGCCGTTATCTTCCTGGACCTTTGCTACTGCGTTCGATGCTAGCAGTCACGCCCTTTCTCCTGAAGCTCGACTCTTGGTTTTCATGACCTGATTCTCTCTGTTTGCCACATGCCTCTCCAGACTGTCCTTTCCTGTCTCATGAGTTCCTCTTCCTCTACCTGCCCCTCACAGGCAAGCCTTGTCCTCCGTCCACTTTTTACAAACTCTTCCTGGGCAGTAGCCTCCATTTTCATTTAAGGGTACTCCTGGTCCTTTTCCCTGCGCTTCGGTGTTTGAGGGTAGCTTCTGCCTGGCAGCTCTCCCAGATACCCCACAGTCACATCAGGTTCCACATGCCCAGGGTCATTTTCACCACCTCCTCTCGGCCTGCCCTCCTTCAGTATCTTCTCACTTATTGGCACTGCCTCTTCCCAGTCACCTGTTCAACAGCCAGCGGTTCGTCCTTGATGCTTTTCTTGTCCCCAGTCATCTGCTTAATCACTAAGTCCACCTCTTTTTGCTTCATATTTCTAGAACCTGCCCCATCTCTCCATTCTTACCACACTGTCTTTGTTCACATCCTTCTGTTTTCTTCCTTAGATGATCGCAACACCCTTGTGATTGGTCTTTCTCTCTCCTTCGATCTTGTCACCCTTGAACCTGTCCTCCATGCCAGCCACTAACATGATCTATTGAAAATGCAAATTTCATCATGTCCCACCTGCTTCAAACTTTGATGGCTCCCCATCACCCACAGGGCTTGTAGGGTGAGCCAGATGTGTTGCAGGAAAGCATCCTAGAGTTGGTGAGTGTGAGCAAGACGTAACATGCATCAGAAGAGAGCTGAGGGCCCACTGTCTCGAATTGGGTCTGAGCTGGGTCTGAGCAGGGTGAGAAGCAGACTGGTTTGGCAGGAGCAAGTATCAGTTCATCCACAAAAGGAGCTTTTCCAGAATCCTGGAATGGTAACCAAGAAGGCCACGGGGAGAATTTGAGCTAGTATTTCTTTTTTTTTTCTCTTCTTTAAAAAAATGTTTTCTAAAGGTTGTGTGTACTCACCAGAGAGAAACAGATAAAGTGAGAAAGCTTCCATGGGGGTGATGGCCACACCACAGTCTCTTGTTCTCCAGTCTCCTCTTGGGACACACATGTACATATACCTGGTGTGTTTTCAAGCCACTAGGTCCAGGACTAGAACTGTACAGTC